TGTTAAGTGAATCCCTCGCAGTTGCTAAAGTTAGCAGCACGGTGATGAAGTGAGTCCGGCTTGGCCTTTGACTTGCTTTCAGGAGGTCCCAAAAGGGGATCATGTGACACACACCCCACCCCGGACACTGCGACCATCATAAATATGAATTAGTTGCCAAGCGGTCAAATTTTGATCACGTGACCACGGGGATGCTGCAGTGGCCATAAGTGTGGAAAATGATAATAAGTCCAGTTTTTTTTTAACTGCCTTTGTGATTTTGAACGATTACTAAATGAGCTGTTGTAACTTGAGGACTGCTTATATGTATATATTTATAGTAATTATTGTCTGATTTTCTGGACCCATATCATAATCCCGTTGTCATGCCCCTGGTGGAGACTGACTGAGGGAGAGGAGGAACAGCCGACAGGGAGTGGGAGTGTGGCTCCGGAGGTGGTGGAGGAGGCTGGGGAAGGGCAGAGGCCGGCTGGGCAGTCAGAGGAGGACCCAGGCCCATCCCCTCTCCATCCTAGGGCACGCAGGGAGGAAAGGATAAAGGAGAGACGTGGTCTATGGGGGAGGAGAGGGCCTTGATCCTCTTCATGGGCTGCAGCTGTGACAACTGGTTAAAAGGACGGACATGCGTATGGAGCCAATGCTGGAAACAAAGCATGGAAATATCTCTAGTCTGTCGTTCCTCTCTGAGTTTGGCGTCCTTCCCAGTGTGTATTATCTGTGGACGTCCTCCAGCCCTTATCTTGTCTGGTTTGTGTTGTTTTTTACTCTTTATAATTTAAACGGCATCTTCTCCTTCTTATAACTGCTTGTGTGGGAGTTTTTTTTCTCTCCGGTTAAGGATATTTAGAGCTTGGAAGCAAAGTGAAGGAATAAAAGGGATTTCACCTGTTTTTTATGACTCTGTTAATTTTGTATCCCACTCTGGGTCAGCACACCGTGATGGCACGCATGCCAGAAGTGGTCCGCAGAGCCATTTCTGCCGTCACTCGAGCCGTCACCCAGAACTGATCCAAGGCACATGCGTGCGCAGCCCCTGCCAGCCAGCTACGCATGCGCAGGGGGAGACACACATGGCGGGGTACACACATGCGCAGGAGGGTGGGAGGTCACATGCATTGCGCTATGGGTGTAGGCATGTGTGCGCATGCGTGCGTGTGCGCGCCTGCATTTTCGGCGTGTGACAACCACATGCTAAGAATTGCAGTGGGAAGGATACAGACCATCATGTGTTCTTCAGCCATCGGGGACCCTGCAGAATATCCTGCTGTTTAAAATGTTGGCCTTGTTTTCATTTTGCAGGGGTATTCTGGCCACTCGAAGCGTCAGTATAAGTGCTTGGGGGGTCTTCCAAAGGCTCCCCAAATTATCCTTGGTCCCATCACTTCTACAGACCATCGTTTACGTGCCCTGCAAAACCAGGCGTGTCATCCAGATTTGACAGCTTTTGTCTACTTTTGTAAGAAACCATGATTTACAAATCATTATGGCTTGTTTGAAGCAAGGCGCGATCATAAGCCACGATTTACCCAACTACTGTGTCTGGATTCCCACAACTGGGGTTGGAACAGGTGGTTTTGCAATGACAACCATCTACTCTCACACAGATGCACCCTCCCTCTCTCTCTCTCTCTCTCTCTCTCTCTTTCTCTCTCTCTTTCTCTCTCTCTCTCTGTCTGTCTGTCTAGGAGAAAGGTTAAATTATATGTCTGTAAATCCAAGTACATAACTATAAAAAAAGAAAAACACTTCCTGGTACATTGAAAGGGAATTCCTTGGGCAAAGTTGGTATGTGTAAACAGGAGAATTTTTTTTCCGCCAAGAAAGTTTTAGACAGATGAACATCTGTGCATTATTGTTACTATTTGCATAACTTTAAGCTACTGGTTTTTAAAAGCATGCTGTGTTCTTTGTTTAATTGTGAGTGCGTTTCTGGTCAGTAAAGTTGTAATAAAGATATGTTTAAAGATTGCAGTATTTTCAGAACTTTAGTGAGGGTGATTAAAACCTTGTTTTAGTGTGTAACTCTCAGGAACCTAAAAATACTGAGCCACAGGGAGAGCCGAAAGACTGGTAAGTCCTCATTTTATGACAATATAGATCCTTTGCTAACCAAGATGGTGGTTAAGTGAGGCGTGCCCGATTTTGCAACCTTTTTTTTTTTTTTTTTGGCCACAGTTGTTAAGGAAATCACTGCAGTTAAATAAATCACGTGGTCATTAAGCAAATCCAGCTTTTCCCCTCATCCACTTTTACTTGTTGGAAGCCGGCTGGGGAGGTCACAAATGCTGTGACACCCCCACCCCCACACAGACACCACTGCAACTGTTGTAAAGCGGCTCTAAATGAACTGGGAAAGTCTGTTCGGTGTGTGAATCTGCACCGATTTGCTCTTCCTGCATTGTTAATTTGGAAAGCGCCATTAGCTTCTGCTAACAAATTCAGCAGTATGCTGCAAACAAATTTTGGGGGCATTTTTATTTTTATTTTTTTTGCAGGAGAAGGTCTTCTGTAGCTTGAAGTAACATTCTGGGGCTGTCCCTTGGAGGAAGGGCCAGCTGTGAGATAGGCCACTGCATTTTCTGAAACACAATTTCTTTCTTCTAGAACAGGGGTCTCCAACCTTGACAACTTTTAAGACTTGTGGACTTCGACTTCCAGAATTCCTCAGCCAGCCATGCTTGCTGGGGAATTCTGGGAGCTGAAGTCCACACATCTTAACGTGGCCCAGGTTGAGAAAAACCATGCGGGCTGGCTGGGGGATTCTGGGAGTTGTCGTTACTATTATATTTATTGAATTTATATTGGCACCTGTTCCCCTGTGGCGACTCAAGACGGCTTACAGAATATAAAACCTCATTTAAAACAATAAAACTAATAAAAAGAATCACATAAATTTAGTATAATACAATAACCTATTTTATAAATACATAAAATGAGTTGAAGTCCACAAGTCTTAAAGTGGCCATGCTTGGAGAGCTCTGTTCTAGAAGGCAGCTGGCCCTCAGGCCACGTAGATAGGTCACTTCTTAACTCTGGTGTCTTGCTGGTAATCCTTTCCAACCTTTAGTGTAGGGGTCCCCAAACTTGGCAACTTTAAGACTTGTGGACTTCAACTCCCAGAGTTCCTCAGCCAGCAAAGAAAAGAAAAGAAAAAAGGAAATAAAGATGTAACCCACCTTCAACCAGATCACAATAGGCCAGTGTTTTTCAACCTGTGGACTTCAACTCCCAGTATTCCTCAGCCAGCTAGGAACGCGAGCTAGGGAATTCTGGGAGTTGAAGTCCACCAGTCTTAAAGTGGCCAAGTTTGGAGGCATCTGATTAAATGGCTTGGGGAATCGACTTTAGGAGACGCTTCCAATTCATTGAAGGAAATTATGAACTGCAAAGCTAGCCGTTTGCAGATCCTTTCCCCCCAAACACAGCATTCTGATTTTTTTTTAAAAAAAAAACTATGCAGAAGAGTTTTCCCTCCTCCTGTACTCGAATGCTTGGTTTGCAAATAAATAGCATTAAACTCAAAATGTGCAGCAACCCCATCTTTGGACTTTTCTTGCCTGGCAGTGACAGTGTTAATGGTGGAGTTACCCTTTTTTTTTATGAACCGAGCAAGCATGGGGGCAATGGAGATCTCTCTCTCTCTGCTTCAGTAATCAAGGTTAGATTCTAACCTTGTAATTAGATCCCTACCTACCCAGGCCTGACCCCATAATTTTATGAGTCAGGGCGGTCTCTTCAGCCGTTTCTGGAGCTGTTCAGGTTGGCTTGTCTATTTTCTTTGGGTAAATATTTGCACTTAATGGCTCTTATCGGTTTACATGCTGGTGCCAGCCTTCCCGGTTAATCACAAACCACAGCGCTGCATGATCTTGCAGAAAACCGGCTGGAGGGGACTTTTGAAGGGATGCCAGGCGCTCTCTCTCTCTCTCTCCTTAATAAGGAATAGCCCCAAAAGGGCTTCCTCTTGGGGGGAAAATGGAAGACACTATAGAGATAAAGAGAGGGAGGGAGGGAGGGTGGAAGAGAGAGAGAGAGACAGAGAGAGGAAGAAGGGTGAGGTGGGGTGGGGAGGGTGAAGGATTGTCTTGAAGGCATTGTTAGCGCCATATTCACCACAAGACAAGTTTGCGCCGATCACCAGGAGACAATGAGTTCTAGTACCACCTTAGACATGAAAGCCGCCTGGGTGACTTTGGGCAATCACTAGGAGACGGTGAGTTCTAGTCCACCTTAGGCATGAAAGCCAACATAGTAGGTCAATCACTAGGAGACGGTGAGTTCTAGTCCCACCTTAGTCATGAAAGGCGACTGAATAACTTTGGGCCAATCACCAGGAGACAATGAGTTCTAGTCCCTCCTTAGACATGAAAGCCAGCTGGGTGACTTTGGGCAATTACTAGGAGACAGTGAGTTCTAGTCCACCTTGTTGGCATGAAAGCCAACATAGTAGGCCAATCCCCAGGAGACGGTGAACTCTAGTCCACTTAGGCATGAAAGCCAACATAGTAGGCCAATCACCAGGAGACGGTGAGTTCTAGTCCACTTAGGCATGAAAGCCAACATAGTAGGCCAATCCCCAGGAGACGGTGAGTTCTAGTCCCGCCTTAG